ACGCTTTTAAAAAGATTCTCTGATTTTTATAAAAATTGGCAGTCCGTTTGATAGCTGTCGACTGTCAAATTTTTAATTTGACATAAAATTCGTACTAGTGCGCCTAAAAACCTAACAAGTGGTATTCTCATAAAGATTTTCTTATTTTTAGAGAAATTAGCTGTTGATTTGACAGCTTTCAACTATCAAACTGAACATTTTATGGCATATCCAGATTTAGCATAGCAAAAATACTACGATGATGCATTTTTATTGTAATCGTAACAGCCCTTCTAATTTTTCGCGTAAAACATAACTTCTCCGACCACTGTGGAGCGTAAGAACGAGAGAGAGCTGTTAGTTTCGGCTAGTTTTGAATATCGAGGGCTTATATTCAATACCCTTCATCTGCAATTTTGATGAAAATGAGTTTTTGATGGTAACGTGAGCTCCGATTAATTTTTTAGCCATGACAATTATGTCAACCTTAAAATATAGTTTTAGTGGATTTATATATTCTCGTTTTGAAAATTCCACTATCTGCAATAACATTTTGTTATAAGAACAAAATCCTCTATCTACATAATTTTGCTGGAAAATTATTTTTATTAACATTTTTTTGTGGCAGGTAAGTTACATGTGCCTATGTATGTATGTATGTATATGTTACCGGTAAAATCCGATCTTAGGTCAAACTAGTTTTGCCCAGGCTAAGCTAGTTCTACCTAATGCGATATATCTGTCCAACCGAAACCAAATATGATAAAACAAAAAATCTTCCATACTCCGTAAAACATAGCGTCATCAAACTCCATTATTCCATTCTTTCTCAAGTTGGTGACCCTGGAAAACTGCTATTATTATTCCTATTGCCAAACTAAATAGAAACAATTCATTAGTTTCTAACTACATACCCATTTCCCTCCTCCCCTGCATATCTAAAGTATTACGCTGGAAAAATGGTGAGAGGATGTACAATGTTGTTAAGTCTTTCCTTTACAACCGGAAGTTCGCTGTTCGGGTCAGTAACTCTTTTTAATGGTGTCCCACAAGGATCACCACTTTCGGTTATTTTATTCAATATAGCCTTTGGGAAAGTTAGCTCCATTATATTTTTTCTAAGACTAAGGACTTGCCGCAATTGGTCCGTATCTTCAGGAGCTAAGATTTCGGTTTTTCACATATGCAGAAAACACAAATGTATACATCCAACCCTCTCCGTGTATGACACCCCTATCCAGTATACTGAGACATTGAAAATATTGGGAACAATTTTTGACAATAAACTTACTTTTAAGCAGCACTGCCATAATGTAAGATTAAGCTTACTTGCTAGACTAAATATTATAAAGTTTTTATAATTTAAGTATTCTTTAGTTCATATAACTACACTGGTAAATGTAATTAGGGCTTTTATATTGGGAAAAATTGACTTTGGAGTCGTAATTTACGGACACTGCGCAAAAAGCTTCTTAAATTGCTAGAAACACCTTACCCTGCAGCAGTCAGAAGAACCATAGCTAGGGTTCGAAATTTCAGACTTTGGTATCGATACTGAGTACTCATTCTGGCATCGAGCTCATGGTATCGATACTCTAAAATTATCAGGGAAAAAGTATCGATACTACTCAGTATCAGACTCATTAAAATACGTTTTTGGGATACTAAAATTATTTTGTTCTTCAATCGTATATCTAGTTATTTCCTAAAATTAAAACAATAGACATTTAAAATATTTGATTTTTATTTCATTGCAGAACTTACTTCCACGTTAGAAGTAATTTAAACGTTAAATGTACACACATATTTACTTTCACGAATTTTAAATTTCATTAAGAATTTTTGGAAACTTTGTGGGTATGCATTTTGTATAATATTGTGCAAGTTTTAATTAAAAGTCAACGGTAGTAGCCTACACGGAAAGTTGAATAGGTTACAAAACTGCATACCCTAAAAGTTTCTAAAAATTCTGTATTTTCGTGAACTTTAAAGTAAAGTTAAAAGTAAAGTTGTATGGCCTTATTCATTAAAAATAAAAAAGGTTTATAAACTATAAGCTGAAAAATGTATGAAAGTGTCATTTTATTTAAGCTCTTTAAGCCTACTTTATTTTTTATCAATAAGGCCATTAAACTTTAACTTATTTGGTTTACGTTATGTAACAGACCACACGAAATTTCAGTTTATTTTAAGTGATGGACAAAATTGAATGATAGTAATCCATATAAGCAAAGAAAATTGGGTTGCTAATGGAAGACAAAATTTAAAAAGTGTGTTTTTTAAAAAGTATTCGATACTACGAGTACTTTGGAAAGTATCGAGTAAAATCACCAAATAAGGTATCGAGTATTAAAGTACACATTTTTATACCCTCAGTATCGATACTTACTCAATATCGATAGTATCGTTCGGCTATGGTTAGCCATGAGGTAAAGTACATCACAAAGATGTTCATCCCAAAGATTGGTCACTGCAAAAATGAGACTGCAACGTCGAATCCTGATTTCAAAAAAAAAAAAAAACGATGAAGCAAGCAATCAGCTTTATTTCGTGTATTAAGCTACATCAAAGATTTGGACTTCATATCTACTCCGATGCCTACTAAAGTAAAAACTCTACCGTAAGGGCATTTGCCCAGTTCTATACTCATAAATAAACTGGGAGCTTATTTTTACAGACGGTTCCAGATATGATAGCGGCTGTTCTTTTGCGGTAACAAAAGGGCTTGGTCGTCGGTGCTTTTCCGCGTACTGCTCGGCATTTACAATTGCTAGAAGCTATACGTTTCGCCTCTACAAACCAAGGAAATTTCCTCACATGCACGGACAGTAAATCAGCCATCTAAACCATCTCTAACAGTGCTAATGATCCTCGTATAATTTCGAAACCACATGAAATACTATTTCAACGCAAAAACACCATTAAAATTATGTGGCTACCTGAGCACGTCGGAATAGAAGGGAACAAGTTTGCAGACCAATGATTAATGTGTTAAAAACTTAGTTTAACATAACATTTACATCTAAAGAACTGATATTTTCATTATTCTGCAAAATCCCCTATCAGCACATTTTTTAATATAAATAATTACAATTCGAATTACAATAACCTCTATCTGATCTTTACACTAGAATAAAATGAATTAAAGGTAAAATCCTAGTTTTAATATATAGCGTGAATTTTTAAGACATGCGTGGGTACTTAAAATTATTAACACTTTTAAAAATAGCTGTTAAACATTTTTTTTGCTCTCTTGAAAAATTGAATTTTTGCAGATAGAGAGTATTGAATATAAGCCCTCGATATGTACAACGTACGTTTTACATTTATATCTTTAAAGTTAAAGAAACTAGTGTTAAGAAAATTGTCGCTTACAACGTTATTCGCGGCAGCCATTCATATGTTGGAAATATTGCTGGAAAACCTTAAAATGTTTGCACGGAACCATGGCGCAATAAATAGGTGAAGATAAAGCTGATGCCACATAAAACTTTTGCTTCGCTTTACGTGACAGATTCGCTTTGACAGATAAGACGAATTGTATGAAAATGAACAAAGCATGCCCCATAAATCCCATCTTTTTGCGCGCTTTGACAATCAGCCGCTTTAATATTTATTTTGTTTCGTAATTCCTAGTTCTCATGCAGAAACATAAAACTTAATTACATTGCTGATAATTTTAAAGGAAAATATATAAAATACACAGCCACTTTGACGAGTAAAAAAGCGGTACAAAATTTTTTTCTTGGCGTTCATTGTGGCATACCTTTTGCGTCTCGCGCTTTGCTGGAAAAGTTATAAATGTCACGCAAAGCTACAAAGTTTTATCTGGCGTCAGCTTAGAACAGCTTTCTCGCTTTATTTTTTATAAGCTTTTATTTAACATGGTCATCCCGCGCAAATCGCGCAAATTTCTAATCGATTTTAAACTGACTTCCCGACAATTTAGAGACTTGAAATTTTCAGCATAGTTCCAATCACGATGACACTGCAATTTAAAATGTAAATGAATTCTCCATATGGTCCAGGGGCCTTGATTCAAAGGCGGTCAAAAAATAGTAAGATTTATGGCTAACAGAACGTAATTTGCCAAAGAACGTAAAACCACTATAAAATTGTTAAAGCTGCCGGCGCGCCGCGGCGGTAGTGTAGCAAAGCTATTCCTAGTCTAGATATGAACCTCGTTGTAGGCATCATATCAAGGAGATACAATTAAAAGACTCCAGATGTCGCCCCGCCAGAAGAAGTTAAATATTGCACCTAAATGTATGCCATTCTACAGCGGAAATGGACGACACGCCATTTCTTTAAATAAAATTAACTGCTGCTATATGTACATATGTATGTTTATACAAAACGTAAGCAAACAACATTTTGCTTGCCAAGTCTTCTGTTCTCTTTCATTGCAAGTTGAATTATTTTAAAATCTATTGCAAAATTTTTTACATAAAATAAAATAACACTTTTTAATATACAACGCTTTTATAAATGGACTAAAAATTATAAAATAAAATAATGTAAAAAAAAATATTTTTTAAAAACAAGCTTTTATTTAACCTGTACAATGAAAGGAATAAAATGAAGTAGTGTAACAAAAGATTTTTTAGCAAGACAATTTTGTCAAAACTGCACTAAAATGAATAAAATAAAATAACTTTAGAT